CCTTCTATTTTGTCTTTTGTATATCTAGATTCCAGCTGTGCTCTGGACCACCAGTCTATATAGATATTCTGTGACTCTAGCTCTTCTTTAGACCTTAATTCACCATCCTTTTAAAATAAATCTTGGTATCTTAAAAGTTTTGCTTTTGTCATAAGATTAGGTTGTATAAAGACCTCTATAGGTGAGACCCATACCAGTGTTTTACAGTAAATTTGTTGTATAATCTTTCTCCACATTCCCAATAGAGCTTTTCTTATCATATGTAAATTAAAGTGCTTTTGCTCTTTATCTTTTTTATACCATAGGTAAGCATGCCAGCCTAATTGTAAATCGTGCCCTTCCAAGTTAAGTAATCTATCATTTTCCAAAGCCACACTAGAGTAGTCCCATTGAATCAGTGGGGATTTGGTGAGTTAATTCTTCTGTAAATTCTGTTTATTTGAATGGGTCTACTCTGGTTGGGACTTGGTAATGCAAAAGTATTATATACCCTCCTGTATCAATGGAACTTGCAGAGGAATTCACTCATCAAACCCTGACTAATTCAGTGGGCCTACTCTAGTGCTACTTACTATGCTAAGCAACAAGATTTCAGCCATTCAGTGGTGATGGTAAGAGCCTAGCAGAAGAAAAGTGTTGGTGAATGCATAAGATGTATAAAAGCTTTATATTCTTCACTAGATTATAAATAGAAGAGTTTCTAAAGGAGCCTGACATGGTGGCACTGTGGGTTAAACCACAGAAGCCTCTGGGCTGCAAGGTCAGAAGACCAGCAGTCGTAAGATCGAATCCACGCAACAGAGTGAGCTCCCGTTGCTTGCCTCGGCTCATGCCAACCTAGCAGTTCGAAAGCATGCAAATGTGAGTAGATAAATAGGTACTACCACGGTGGGAAGGTAACGGTGTTCCATGTCTAGTCGCGTTGGCCACGTGACCACAGAAAACTGTCTTCAGACAAAACACTGGCTCTACAGCTTGGAGACGGGGATGAGCACCACGCCCTAGAGTCGGACACTACTGGACTAAATGCCAAGGGGAACCTTTCCCTAAAGGATCCTAGAATTTTAGGCTTTTGCTACCAAATACTGCGATGTATAAGACTAAATATACAGTTAGACTAAGTATGCAGACTAAGAAGGATGTTTGATTTATTTTAATTAGCTAGGAGCTGGGAGGAGGTTATATTGTCTAGAGGAAGGTTTTGTTGACTTCAGAACTGGCAGAATATCACCAGTGGCCATCCTGGCTGCTGCTGGGATTTGGAATCAACATATTGAGAGAGGGGGGAAGGGGTTCTTCATCTCTCTTTCGGGGACCATTTCCACCTTTGCAGAGGGTAAAAATTAAGGTTGAAAGCAATTTTTAAAAAGTGTTCAGTGTAGTTGCTATGAAATAGGAGCATACCCTTCTGCAGCAGATGGTATTCATTGTAAGCCCCAAATCCATAATAACCAAATATGGCCACTGTGTACCAGACAGTGAAATGAATTATCTTAATATTTACCTATCTGTGCTTGTGACATTTTGCACATCCTGGAAGGGCCATGTATTGGATTTTCAATCCAACATCTCCACTAGGGATGTGTCATTCGTTTTTTTTTTTGGACTTTGATTGTCAGACATCTCTAGGAAACCTAGGAATTGCAGCCTGGAAACAAAAATCAGTGCAACTGTTTCTCTTGCAGAGTAAGGCTTCCCAGTTATGCATCATTAGGTCCTGACAGCCTTCCTGTTTCCTGTATTTTGATAAATAAAGGAAACTGTCATGATGCTTCCTAAAAGAAGAGTTCCCATAAAACTTAGTGGGCAGTGAGACTATGCCTTCCAGGAAGCGCTCTCCTGGTGGGATGTGTGTGTACCTGTGTGTGACATTTTAAAATTCAAGTTCTTAATATTGCAGAAAATTAACCATCTTGACAGAGGCATTCCCCTTTCATAAATAAAAGGAAATGTCAGTTCTAAAAATAGTCCGCTATGATACATGCATCATCTAAAATAAAGTATGTATGTACTCATTTGAAAATTTATGTTAGTCACTATTAGTCAATGAATTTTTAAGTTATGAAATTGATTTGAGATTTCTTTTGCCAAGTGATGGCCTTGAGCGTTTTTCCACTAGAACAGGGGTTGTCAGCCCCTGGTCTGCGGCCCGGTGCCAGTCCCTGGGCTTGCCGAAACTGGGCCACGGATACAGATCTCCACCCCCTGCATGCCTGCGTGGTGGGCATGTCATGCTCACGTAGTGGGCGTGTTGCACCTGTGGTGGGCATGTCATGCTTGCGTGGGAGGTGTGTCACATTGGTGGTGGGCGTGTCACGCTCACAGGGGGGTGTCGTGTTTGCCATGGGGCATGTTGCACCCACCGTGCGTGCTTGCAGGTCATGGATACGGATCTTCACCCCCCTGCACACACGTGCAGTGGGTGTATCACGGCAGCGGGGGGCGTGTCATGGTCGTGCGGGAGGCGTGGCAAGCTCACGGGGGTAACATGCTCATGGGTGTGTCGTGCCTCTCTGGTCAAATTTTTTCATTCTAAAGGTGGCAAACTAGTAACCCAAGCTTTAAAAGTATTTTCAGGGAGGGTCATCTCCCAAATGCTTTAT